GACACACAAACCAGTTGTTTAAAATTGACTGCTGCTATTTGAAAATCTAACATTTAACACAAAATAAGGGGCTTTGACTTTTCCCCACCCTCCCATTCCAAACAGAGAAAGCAATTGGAGGGGAGATTTCCCCACATAAGCCTTCATTTTCAGCAGGTCACCCAGCCAATATAAAGTCTCACCCTGTGCTGCGTGGAAGCCTTCAGATGCCCTTCAGGAGCTGTAGGCTGCCAGCATGACGGCAGAGAGCATGTCTCCATGTACCTCCCCGCTTTTCCAGGCCCTCCCATGCCACAACCACCAGTGACGCAGAAGGTGCCAAGGAGATCTGGAGGACTCACATTCTGTTTGCGTCTCAGTTCCTTTCCAGAAACCTTGGATGCAGGTGACAACTCCCCCTCTTCCTTCTCCACGCAACAGTCTCCACACATTAAGACAGTCAGCGAGAGCGAGCTGAGCACCACAGCGACAGAGCTGCTCCAGGACTACATGATGACGGTAGGGTGTCCTTGGGGTGGCAAGACCTTGGGGTGAATGGGTTTTCTTCCCTTTAAGGCATTCAGGTGCTCTTGGGATTTGGTTTCATTGCATTGGTGTGTAAAGCATGAGCTCATGCTGATATAGGAACATCTCATCCTCCTTTTCATACAAGTTGTACTTGGAGGCCTCATGGGACCTGAACGGAGGCCTACAGCAGGAGCACCCCAATCCCTTAGTCCCCCCTCTCACCACGTAAAGGCACACGGCACCATCCATGGGGTGCCAGGTCCATCACTTCGTGAGTCACAGGCCCTGTGTACATCCACAGCTTGTCACTGTTTGAAAGCTGCCAGCTCCAGAGTGGGTCACACCAGCCTGTCCTGCTTTTCCATTGGGATGAGCTGGTTCGTTAGTGCAGCTCTTATCAAGTAGCAATAAACCCGATAAACGCCATTCCCAGGCTCCACATCATCTCTTCCTCTCCTCCTAAAAAGTCTCAGTGACGGTTGCGCTGTGTTTCTGTTCTGCAGCTCCGCACTAAACTCTCATCCCAAGAGATCCAGCAGTTTGCAATGCTCCTGCATGAATACCGCAACGGGGCTTCAATCCATGAATTCTGCATCAACCTGAAGCAGCTCTATGGGGACAGCAGGAAGTTCCTGCTCTTAGGTGAGTGGCAGCTGCCAGGGATCAATTGCAGGTGACCAAGCAGAAGGTGAGAGCTGGCATCAGTCTGCTCCTAATCCACTCACTGATGCATGGGCCTCCTGAGAGGGTAGGGGGGTAATTATGGGTGGCACAGAGATTCCTTGGGGTGTCACCAAGCAAGGAACAACATCTCAATTGGTCTCTCCCTTGATGGCACCTCTTTCCTGAAGGCAGCTGGATCCATCTTGCTCAGGCCCCGGCCCCATAGGCTTGAGTTGCTCCTCAGGATGCTCACCTCTCCTTCCTGACTGCAGAGGGAGCCTCCAGACCAGGCACTAGGCTTCTCTGGGCCCAGTGGTGGAGAGAGAGAGAACGTTCTGGTCCTTGGCCAGCCATGCAGTGCCTGACATAAAGCAGTTCTGGTGGTGGATGTGCTGCACATCCAGGCATGTTGAATCTGTGTTCCCTGGAGGGGTCTTCGTGGTGCTGGAGGGAGGGTGTGCACCATGACAGGGGAGCAGGACCCTTCTGTTCCTCTTCATTAAAAGGAAGCTGAGAGCCTCAGGGACTCTTCATATCCCTCCTTCCTCAAAGTCCCTGCTTTGATTTTGGGAAGATAAGGGAAGAGCAATTGACATCATCTGCCTGGACTTGTGCAGGGCATTCAGCACTGTCCCACAGAACATCCTTATCTCTAAACTGGATGGACAGGGATTTGACAGGTAAACCACTCAGTGGATAAGGAGCTGGCTGGATAGTCACACTCAAAGACTTGTGGTCAGCAGCTCAATGTCCAAGTGGAGGCTAATGATGAGGGGTGTTCCTCAGGGGGTTATGCAGGGACTGGCACTGCTCAACATCCTTGTCAGCAACATGGACACCCCACCTCTAACTACAAACAAAACCAAGTTAGTTACTTAGAATCCTCAAAGGGTAATCAGTGGTGTGTCCAGCCTGCATCCTCCTGCCCTTCTGCTTCCAGCAGGTGACAGCCACCCTCCAGGGACCCTGCCCCACGGTGGGAGGCACGAGGGAGACAGCACAGATGTTCCCCGAGAGCAGCCTGCAGCGTGGGCTGCTGCAGTGCCAGCAATAAGCCCAGTAAAGCCGAGCAATATGTTTGGGTGAGGAATTGGAAGACGATCCTCTTGAAATCAGAAAATCCCACTTTAGCAGCGTTTTTTAGGCTGCATTTCTCAGGGGTGTGAAATGGGAGCTGGAGTCCTCAGGAGACCTCATCCCTCCTTGCCCCCTAAACATGCTCCTCTGCTGAGCCGTGTGCTGTTTGGGGGAGCTGAGGCACAACGGTGCAGCAGGGTTCTGCTGGAACACTCATAAACCCCAGGGGGTTTCAGACAGCCAAGCAAATCCATCCCAGGTGTCTGTGCCATGCAAATGATGCTGACAGCTCCCTCCTCACGTTTTCTTCCCGGCTCCAGGTCTTCGCCCCTTCATCCCCGAGAAGGACAGCCAACACTTTGAGAACTTCCTGGAGACCATTGGGGTGAAGGACGGCCGCGGCATCATCACAGACAGCTTTGGGAGGTACAGGCGGACTCTGAGCACCACCTCCAACTCCACCACCAACGGCAACGGCGCTGCCGGCAGCTCGGATGACCAGTCCGTCCCTTCCGAGGAGGACGAGTGGGACCGGATGATCTCGCACATCAGCAACGACATCGAAGCCCTGGGGTGCAGCATGGACCGCGATTCCTCCTGAGAACGAGCAGGGCGAGGACGGAGACACTTCACAGCAGCACCAGGATCCTCACCCGCCTTCTGGAAGAGGCTTTGGAGCTCCGTCAGGATGCAGTTACTCTCCCATCCTCGTTCACAGCTCCAAGGGGCAGCTGGTGCCCTATTATCATGGAGGTTCCCAGGGCAGGAGCCCAGCCTGCGGCCATCTCCAGTTTGGTTTTTACTGCTGCAGCGGGGAGACAGGTCACCTACAGCCCCCTGCCTGGTTTACAGTTTTGCACATGGTATCCCTATTGTAACTGCTCTCCTCCTCCTCCTCTTCTTCCTCCCCCTCTTTTTGAATGAAGTTTACCACAATGTGAATTATTTAAACCTGGTGTTGATGTTGTCGAAACATTTTGGCTCCAGCCCCACAGGAGAAGCTGCCAATGCCTGTGCTGCTGCTGCCTGGCCTGAAAACCCCACCATACCCCCCCTCAGCTCTGCTCAGGGGGCCCCAGGAGCTGGAGAGGGGGGCACACAGATGAAGCTTTCCCCATCAGTGGATTCCTGTGTGCCCACGAGAGCCCTCCCTTCCTGCCAAGCACAAAGCTTTGCCCCATGAAACTCCTGTCAACTCAGTCTTCCCTGGCACCCATCCTGGGCGCATGGTGGCTTCTGGGGCTCCTTAGGGACTGTGCCATCCCTGAGGGCCAGCACCAGGATGGGAGAGCGGACCATGGGCCCACCCTAGGAAGACTGGGGGGGTGCAGGGGGTGTACATGTTGTACATGTTTTATATACAGTTATAAATACACACTTATTTTTTTAATCAGAATCCCCATGCAGAGGGAGAGGTGCCATTTGCAGCGGGCACCAGAGGAGAGGGGGTGGGCCCTAGTTATCCTGGAGGAAGAAGGGGGCTGGAAGAGGGATGGGACATCCCAGGCAGAGGCTCTGACACCCAGGGGTGGCTCTGGCAGGGCTGGGAGTGCGCTAAGAGCAGATGCTGGCTCAGCAGTTTGGGGGATCAGGCCTTACCCCCCCCCAGTGCCTTTAACCCCCGCTCTGCCCATCCCAGGCAAAGACCAGCCTTCATCCATCCATCCTCTCCCTCCCCACCTTGCTCTGGCCATTCCTTACCTGTGCTTCCCAGGATCACAGGCACTGGCCCTCGGTACGATCTGGCACGGAGCCACCATTGCACCCCACATTAAGCTGGGGTCAGGGTGACCCCAATTCTGCTCCAGAGAGGGTCCTCACAGCCCAAATCCTTCTTTCTCCTTGACTCATGGGGTACACGATTCCGCATCACTCCAGTGCCAGGCTGGGATACAGCTGGCCCTTTCTCTGCCAGTTCCAAGGCTGAAAGGAACAAGGCAAAGGGTCCCAGCACACATCCTCTAGCAGCAGGAAAAAGGATTTAGCCAGGATGTATCCATCACAGAGAGCATCTTCCTTGGGAACAAGCTGCGATGGAGAAGCTCATGGTTTCCTGCTGCCCTGTGGTTTTGCCATCCACCGAGGGAAAGGGAGATGAAGATCCCAGCTCCATCCATGGGGTCGCCAGGTGCTGGGGACCAAGATCTTCCTCCTCTCCTCCTCAAGCTCAGGAGGCAGCAGCGTGGGGCTGGAGTTGTTTTAGTGCCTTTCTATGATTTACAGATTAAAACCGAAATTGCACATGTGGATGTTCAAGTGTGTAACGACTTCAGGACATTCGGAAGAGAAAACACGCCCTATTTGTGGCATCATTGTGTATGATGGGGGTTAAAACAAGCTGTAACCACTTGCAGTGGGTTATTTTAATACTCCAATGGGACTTAAACCTGGGATGTGGCCTTCTGGGAGCCAAGGGGGTTTTCCTGCCTCTGTCTCCCCGTCGGTGGCACCGGGAGGCCGCGTGTGTCTGCTTTCTGTATGGAGTGGTGTTACAGGTGAATACAGTTCTGCACCCGGCTATGGTTTGTCTCCTTGCTCAGCCCTCCTTGGTCACCCAGCTTCATTAAGCACCTCTAATTAGCAATAGGGGGGCTAAAGCCCTGATGGCTTCAGGAGCATCTCGGGACTCCCATCACCCCATCCCACCCCCCATGCCCGGTCCCAGAGCCACCCAAATTAACCAGGTGCCCCACAGCTCCACGAGCCACAGGACAGCCCAGAGCCCCCCCAAATCACCATGAGGAGAGGCGGGGTGCGATCCAAGTGATACATGAGGCCGTTTATTGAGCGATACAGACGCAGAGGAGAAGTATGGGGGTGTATAGAGGAAGGATGGCAGAAGGGGGGTAGTAACTGTGCATCTATACAGGGGGGCCGGGACAGCACCGGCCGCTACATGGTCAGCTCCTGTGGAAGAGAGCAGAGTGTGAGGGGACCACCCCACAGCACCCCAATGCGTGCTAGGGGTACCTGGGTGTCCCCCCCCCTTCCCAGCCACTCACCATGATGGCGTTGACAATGTCATTGTTGTTGTGCCGAAGCGCCCGCACGGCTTTGGGGCGCGAGACATTGGCCTGGGCCATCACCAGCTCGATGTCCCTCACCTCCAGTCCCGTCTCATCCACCTGCAAGGTGGGAACACCACTGTCACCCCCCCGAGGACACCGGGGGTTCCCCTCCGCCCCCTGTCCCAGCACCCACCTCCTCCTCCTCCTCGCTCTCCTCCTTGATGGTGAGGGTCGGGGCCGTCTCCGTGATCAATGGCGAGTGCTCCATCGGCACCTTGAACTTCTCTGCCGCCGCCTTGTGCACTTGCTGCGACAGGTCCTCGATCTGTGGGGGACACAGCATCACCCACCCGTCCCCCAAAGGGACGCCCCAAGGGGGGCACCCCCCACCCCTCACCTTGGCTTCCCCAAAGACAATGTAGATGTCGGAGGCGGGGCTCTTGAAGACATCGGGTTTGGTGATGACGAAGAGGATGTTCTTGGACTTGCGGATGGTGATGCGGGTGACGCCGTGGATCTGCCGCAGCCCCAGCTTGGACATGGCCTGGGGACACACACACACAGACACAGAGGTGACCTCATGTCCCACCTTCCCAGGGCAGCCAAGGAAGGGGGCTCCGGACCCCCCATAACACCCCAACCCTGGGCTGTGGGATAACACTGTCCCCCACTGCAGCCAGGCTGAGTCCCCTGCCAGGACACCCCACATCATCCCTGTACCCACCATCACCTGGAGACCCCCAAAGTGGGGACGTACCCCCCAATACCCCAAGGCTTCCCCGCCTCCAGTCCCTGGGATGGGATGAGGACCCCAATGCCATGGGTAACCCCATCAATCCCATCCCACCTTCCTGGCCTTCTTCTCGCTCCGGCTCTGCTTTGCCTTGCTGACCGTCTCCTCCCCGGTGCCCAGCGAGTGGGTGAGCTGCGCCTGCCAGAGAGCAGTGGGTGAGAGCAGCCCCAGCACCCAACATCCCACCCCCAAAATCATCCCAACCTGTGTCTGTGCTGGCTGCGGCTCCGAGCCCTCAGCCTCCTCCAGCTCCGGGATGGACTCATCGTTGCTCTCCGACTCATTACAGGACCCTGCGGCCAAGCAGAGGGGTGGGATGGAGACGTGCCCTGACCCCCCCCCCCCAACAAGCACGGTGGGGAGGGAGCCCCACGGGACCCTCCTCTCACCTTTGTGGTTGGCCTCGCAGCGGCGGGGCGCCGGGGGCTGCTTGTCCTGGCGCAGGGCGATGCCGGCGGCTTCCCGCAGGCGCTGGATCTCGGGGCACGGGTACGGAGCCTCCGCCTCGCTGGAGGAGCTCGACTCCGACTGCAGCGACCCGCGGGGGGGGACCCGGCTGCCCGGCCCTGCCTGCCGGCCTCGGGCCTCCTTCTCCTTGCGCGGGGAGGGCTGGGGGGCTGCGGGGGGGGGCAAGAGGGGGATGAGCCGGTTCTGACCCCCAAACACCCTCCCCATAGGGCTGAACAGGCTCACCCCATCACACAGCCTGCAACCACCCAAAGCAGACCCCCAGCACCACACCATGGTCCCCCACAGTACCCTATGGGAGCGGGAGGGTAAGACTGAGCTGGTGGTATCCCCCAAATCCTTTCTGTGGGGCTGAACCCACCCTGGGATCCCACAAAGGGGACGCTGAGCGCCACCCAGCAATGCCCACCCTGTGCCACAATACCTCATGGAAGCAGCGAGTGGCTGAGGGGGCTGAGCTGGTGCTGCCCCCAAAATGCCCTCTATGGGGTCAAACCCAGCCTCCTTATCCCCATCATCACTGCGAGGTGTCCCTGCCCATGGCAGGGGGGGTGGAACTTGATGATCTTCAGGTCCTTTCCAACCCTGACTATTCTATGATTCTATGATCACACACCCTGGGACACCCAAAAAAGGACCCCCAGCAGCCCACCGGTGGGTGATGCCCCCCCCCAATGGGCAGGTGTGTGCTGGGGGTGCCTCTTACCCTCGAGGTGCTTCCTGGTGGGCAGCAGGACAGACGGGCGCTCCTCGCCGGCGGGGAGCCCTGATGAGGTGTCCTGGGGGCCGGGACGTGGCGATGGTGGCGATGGGGCAGCGGCGAGAGGAGGCACTTGGCTGAGTTTGGGGAGCGGAGGGCAGGGGGCTGGCGGTGCGCTGGGGGGCTCGGGGCAGGGTTGGGGGGCTGCATCCCTGGCTGGCTCCGGGGAGGGCGCCGGCTGAGCATCCCCCCCTTCGCTAGCACCCAGAGCGGGCTGGGGGCTGGATGGGGTCCCCACCATCTCCTCTTCCTCCTGCTGCCCGGGGGGTGCCGGGGGCTCACTGGGGGGGCTCGGGGGGCTGCTCTCCCCCAGGACTTTGGCATCGGTTTCCCCAGCAGTCTGGCCCGGGGGGGCATCAGCAAGCAGAGGGGTCCCGGGCTCCTCTGTTGCCCCATCACTGGGGGGACCCTCCAGGGGCTCTGCGGATGCCTCGGGGGGCTCCGCGGGCCTGGGGGGGAGGCGGGGGGCCGGCAGATCCCCAAAAGAGCCCTGCAGCATGGCAGTGACCCGCTGCCGGTCCTCCCGGCACTGCCAGCCCGCCCCGCTCTCCGAGAAGGCACCGGGTGTTTGGAGCAGTTCGAGGGGGGCCCCCACGTACACCTCCCGCTCCGAAGCGGTGAAGAGCAACGGGGGGGCGGCGGGGGGCGAGGCGGGCAGGCAGAGGCGGGCAGCGGCATCCTCTGCATCCTCCTTGGGAGACGGGGGTCGGGGGGGGGCGGCTGCTTCTCCTGCGTGGTCCTCAGGAGCTGCGAAGGGGCTGGAGTCGGTGCAGGAGCAGGAGGTGTCCAGCGGCTCCGGGGGGGAATCCTCGGGGGAAGCAGTGGGAGCATCCTGGTCCCCGGCGGGATGCGCCGTTGTCTCCTGTGCCGTGGGACACGCGGTCACTGGTGGCTCCAGGGATGCGCTGGCTGAGGCTGCCACATCCACCAGATCCTCGCTGGCATCGCAGGGGGACGTGTCCTGTGATGGGGAGGAAGGTGCCAGGACACTGGGCATCACTGGTGGCACCAGGTCAGGGTCAGTGGATGCGGTGTCTGGCTCGTCGGTGGGACTGGTGTCACCAGTGATGCCAGGTTGGTGGCCACGGTGTCTGGCTCATCCAGTGGGACTGGTGTCATCGATGGCACCGCATCAGTGGCTACGGTATCCAGCTCATCTGGTGGGATCGGTGTCACCAGTGGTACCTTGTCAGTGGCTGCAGTGTCTGGCCCATCCGGGAGGCTGGGTGTCACCAGTGACACCAGGTTGGTGGCCGTGGTGTCCGGTTCATCCAGTGGGATCGGTGTCACCAATGGTGCCATGTCAGTGGCTGCAGTGTCCGGCTCATCCATCAGGCTGGGTGTCACCAATGACACCAGGTTGGTGGCCATAGTGTCCGGCTCATCCAGTGGGATGGGCGTCACCAGCGGCACCAGGTTGGTAGCTACAGTGTCCGGCTCATCTGGTAGGTTGGGTGTCACCAACGGCACTAGGTCAGTGGCCATGGGCTCTGGCTCATCCAGTGGGCTGGGTGTCACTGGTGGCACTGGGCTGGGTGTCACCAATGGCATCAGATCAGTGGCCATGGTCTCTGGCTCATCCAATGGGCTGGGTGTCACCAGTGGTACCAGGTTGGTGGCCACAGTGTCCTGCTCATCCAATGGGCTGGGTGTCACCAGTGGTACCAGGTTGGTAGCCACAGTGTCTGGCTCATCCGATGGGCTGGCTGTCACCAGTGGTACCAGGTTGGTGGCCACAGTGTCCTGCTCATCCAATGGGCTGGCTGTCACCAGTGGTACCAGGTTGGTGGCCATGGTTTCTGGCTCATCCAATGGGCTGGGTATCACCAGTGGCACCAGGTTGGTAGCCACAGCGTCTGGCTCATCCGATGGGCTGGGTGTCACCAGTGGCACCAGGTTGGTAGCCACAGTGTCTGGTTCATCCGATGGGCTGGGTGTCACTGGTGGCACCAGGTTGGTAGCCATGGGTTCTGGTTCATCCGACGGGCTGGGTGTCACCAGTGGCACCAGGTTGGTAGCCACAGTGTCCGGCTCATCCGATGGGCTGCGTGTCACCGGTGGCACTAGGTTGGTGGCCATGGTGTCTGGCTCATCTGGCAGGCTGGGTGTCACCTGTGGCACCAGGTTGGTGGCCACAGTGTCTGGCTCAGCTGGCAGGCCGGGTGTCACAAGTGGTACCAGGTTGGTGGCCACGGTGTCTGGCTCATCTGGAGGGCTGGATGTCACCAGGTTGGTGGCCAGAGTGTCCAGCTCATCATGGCCATCAGGGGCTGCCAGCTCAGTGCTGTCCACTCTCACAGTGCCAAGCTCATGGTCACTGTCACCAACACCAACATCATCACCATCATCTTCATCATCATCACTGCCAGGGCCACCCTGGGGCTCCCCGTTAGCCGGTGCCACATCATCCTGCTGCACCCCCTCAGTTTGGGGGTCCCTGGAGCAGAGGCTCGGGGGCTGCAGGGCGCTGCTGCTCTCCGCTGGCTCCATACTGGGCCCCTCTCCCAGTGCTGCCATAACGGAATCATCCTTTGCCACTGGCTCCTCCTCAGCACCCGGCATCACCACTGGCTCCTCTGGGAGCTGAGGGGGTTCTGGTGGGGGACACTCCCTGGGAACGGGGTTTGGCTCCCATGGGACATTGTGCTCCAGGGTTAATGCTTCCTGCAGCTCCGGGGAGGAAGAGGAAGACATGAGGAAGGTCTCACCATCCTGCTGCACGCTGCCTTCCCCACAGGGTGCTGGGGGGGTCTCGCTGCCCTCCTGCTCCTGCATCCCTGGGTCTGTGGTACGAATGTCCTCCCTGATGGCATCCTCCGCACTCGCCGGTTCCTCCCCTCTGCTGTGCTGCGGGGACCCCTCCAGTGACCCACTGCCATCAGGGGCCACCCCAGCGTGAAGGTGGAGCTCGATGCCGCCCTCCCCAGCAGGACCGGTGCCCGGGGGCGCGGTGGCGGTGCCAGGGGGAGCCCCCTCGTTCCCCATGGCGTGGCGCTCGGTGCCATAGAGCCGCTCGTCCTCCTCGCCGTCGTAAGCAGCCGAGTCGGAGGAGGCGGAGGTGTCATCACGGAAGGCGAAGGACTCATCCACCCCTTCGGTGATGGAGGTCTCTGACAGCGAGCGCAGGAAGGAGGCCGAGGTGCTGCCACCTTCCTCCTCCTCCTCCTCTTCTTCCTCCTCATCATCCTCATCCTCCTCGCCGGGCAGGGGCAGGGGCAGCAGCGCTGTGCCGGCAGGCAGCGGGGTGATCTCCACCGCCTCAGCCTGGAAGAGCAGGCTGCCGCGGAAGGGCAGCAGTGCCGCCGGGATCAAGCCCGCACCGGGCAGCCCCTCACCCCCCATGTCCCACTCCTCATCCTCCTCCTCCTCCTCCTCGTCCTCCAGGGTCTGCCCATCACCATCATCAGCCCCAGGAAGGGCGAAAAGTCCATCTTCCTCCTCCTCATCCTCCTCCTCGGGAGACGGCGGGGTGAAGGCAGGGGGATGCTCCAGGCAGGGGCACAAAGCCTCCACCTCCACCATGCCTTCAGCCTCCGCTTCAGCCACCGCCAGCGCTTCGGCCTCGGCCACCAGGTTGGGGGAGCAGGACGGGGAGGTGCTGGCCGTGCCGGAGGACCCCCAGCTGCCCCCCTCGGCCGTCATATAGGACCCGGAGGGGGATGTCGGGGGGGAGCAGAGCCCCTCGCTCTCCCCGTCCGTCTGCTCCTCGGGGGGAGGCGGCAGCAGCCGGGACCCCCCGACCCGGATTGGGGTGGAGGGGGCCGTGAAGAAGAGGTCGGGGTCCATGGCGGCAGCAGGGGGGGTTCTCCCGGAGGGGGGCTCAGCCGCTTGGCGCTGGGGGGGATCTTTGGTGGGCGCAGGGAAGGGGCAAGGCACAGCAGGCAGGGGGGGCCCCCCCCGGAGCTCGGGGTCGGTGGCGGAGCGCGTCTCCTCCCCCATGACGATGCGGGTGTCCAGGGGGTCTGCGGGCAGGGGGGGCCGGCAGGACTCGCCCGGGGGGGCAGCAGCGGGGGGGCCGGGGTCGCAGCTGGCGCCCTCGGGCTGCGGGCGAGCCTCCTCCTTGGTGGGCATCGGTGGAGGGCCTGGGGCCGGCGGGGGGGCTGCGGAGAGAGGGGGGGAACCCCCGTCAGTGCCAGGGCGCACCCCTGGGGTGGGGGGCACCCAGCCAGGACAGTGCCAGCCCCCTCTAGGAGTGGGAAAACAGGGTGACCCCCACCCAGAGCACTTGGGGGTCACCACAGGGGTGGGTGACACTGGATGGGGGGGACACCAATAGCTTCCTCCAGCCCCTCTCTATGGGTAAAGGATGCTGCTGCATTAAGGAAAGGGGGACACCCAGGTGTCCCCAAAGCAAAGAGAACCTCTCCATGGTGTGTGTGTGGGGGGTAAAACACCCCATATCCCCCCACTTCATAGCATGACCCCTGCAGGGAGCTCTGTGCCCTCCCATGCACTGGGCATGTGGGTCCTCAGCCACTCATTACCCAGGTAGGGAATGCTGCAGGCATGGAGCATCACAGCATCCTCCCCCCACCATGAACACCCCAAAGCCCTTCCCAGCAGTGCTCCCCGAATTACCTGGGGTCCCCAAGGGCAAGCCCATAGGGAGGAGCAACCAGGATCCCACCTCCAGCTCCAAACACAGCAAAGCCCCATGTGCATCCCCAGGGGGCTTTATATAGGGGTGAGGGGGCGGGGCAGGGCCGCGGGGGATGCTGGGAAGGGGGCGGGGCCTCACCTGGGTATTTAGCAGGCCCCCCCTTCCCCCCCCTAGATATGGGGTGGTTCAGTCCTGCTGTGTTAGCTCTGGGAGCTGGGGAGTGCTCAAAGGGTTAAGGGGGGGGGGGGGGAAAGGAGAGTGGCTCTACCCTATGGGGGATACTGGGATCACTTTAACCCTTCCCTGCTGCTGTCTGTCCAACCGCCGGCTCCCCCCATACCCATTGGGGGGGCGTTTTGGGGTTCCCGTGATCCCATCCGCACAAAGGACCTTGTGCCCCTCTGGAAGGGAAGCCCTGATTTCCCCCATCCCCGTGCACAAACCAGCCCCTCACCCCCTTTTCGGGGGGATCACTGTGCCCCCCATATGTGGCTCATGGGGAAGTGGGAGGGGGAAACTGAGGCACAAGGGGAAGGCGGCACGGGGACAACCCCCCCCCCCCCCGGGCTGTCCTCAGCCCCCCAGGGGGTGCCGGAGCGGGGTGACCTTGGGCCGCGGCTCTGCACTGCCAGTGCCTCAGTTTCCCCACCCAGTTGTCCCTGGCGGGCTGGGATGGGGCTGGGGCAGGGGCTAGGGGGGCTCAGAGACCCCCTCTGCTTCCCATCGGGGCTCCCGGTGTGGGGAATGGCGGGGCACAGCCCGGGGCTGGGCACTGGGGGTGAAGAGGGAGGCGTCCCCAAAGGGGTGTCCCCAGAGTCACCTCCCGCCGTGCTCCGGGGTGGTGCCGGTACCGGAGCCCCTCGGCGGTGCTGGCTGCCGAGAGCCGCTGGTGCGGCCGGCTCTGTGTCTTCCATCCCTCCTGCTCCTTCCTCCATTGCATCCCTCCATCCTCCCGCTCCATCCCTCCATCCCGCATCCCTCCATCCCCGCGGCCTCCCCTCGGCCTCACCTGCCTCCGATCCCTCCGGCATTCCGTTTTCCTTCTCCAATCCCCCCAGCCCTTGGGGTTTCACCGAGTCTCCGGGCATGGCGATGCCAGAGCCCGGGGGGCCGGCCCGGGCGGCCGCCTGCCCACCCAGCTCAGCCACCTTTGGCTCGGGCTGGACGAAGGCGGCTGCGCCGGCAGGAGCGGAGCATTAGTGGGGCTCGGGCGGGGGGGCCGGCGGCCGGATCAGCCCCGTCATCCCAGATGATGTCAGCAGGATTTTTTTTCCCTGCTTTTTTCCCCTCCCGTTCCCTTCCCTGCCTTTTCTCTCTCTCCAGTATCTTTTTCCCTTGTATTATATATCCCTCCGGCAGGGAGAAAGCGGGGTGTGTGCCAGGCACTGCGGCGGTGGGAGGGGAGGGCAGAGCCCACCCCGTCAGCGCCTGCATTAGCTCGGGGAGGGGAACACACACACACACAACACACACAGGGAGTGGGGTCCCCCCACGCTCAGTTTCCCCACCCGGGGTGGGATTGATGAGCAGGGGGGTGAAGGATGGATTTTGCTCCCCTAAAATATAGGGATGAGCATCCCTAGGGGTGGGATTGTTTGCATCACCCCCCCCCAAAGTAGATGCGTGCGTTTGGTGGTGGCAGGAGGATGGTGTCCCCTCCCTGCGTGTGTCCCCAGGGCATCGCCCCGCGCCCGGGTACCGCTGGAGAGGTAGGATGGGTGCCTGCGCGGTCGCCATGGGAACGGCCCTTCTCCTCCTCTCGTCTCCGTGGTGATGGTGAGGAGGATGAGGATGGCTCCCTGGCAACACGGCAGGGGGTGGTGGTGGGACCCCCCCTCTCTGCAAGCGGTGGGGAAGAGATCCTGACAGAATGGATAAATGGCGATGCCCTGGTGGGACAGGTGACCCCCCCCCACCCCCGGGCCCCACTGACCCTTGGGAAGAGGCAGCATCTGCCGCAGGATGCTGTGGGGAAACTGAGGCACGGCCCCAGGGCAGGGGGGGGCCGCCTGGTGCCGGGCATGGAGCGATGCCGGTGACGCCGGTGCCAGGAGCAGCCCCGAGCCGTGACTCAGCAGCTCCAGCACCGCCACGGCCTCTGCCATGGGAGGCAGAGCCAGAGCAGGGCTGCAGCCCACAGCGCTGCAAGCGGGGACAGAGGCACGCAAGGCTGTGCCCCACAGGCAGAGGGGATGGAAGGGACGTGGCAAGGATGAGCAGATGGTCACTAATCCAGCCCCAAAGCCACTCCTGGCACCCAGTGCATCACAGCACAGGTGGTTTTTGTGGCCCACCTTGTCCCCCTAACCCAAGTTCTGTGGGATGCTGTGTGTGTGTTGTGGTAGAAGGGGAAGCTACAGAGGCACCAGGCCACGTCTGGGCAGGATCTAACCCTTCCCAGTTACACTCTCCCACGCCTGCTCCATGGGTCCCACTGCTCTGGGTGGAAGTGTCACAGCACCTGAGCCAGCCCATCCTCCCTCCCCTCTGGCACTGCACAGCCTCCTGGGGACAAAGCCCTGCTAATAAAATGGGACTAAGAGAAGACAGGGTGGCTCTTAATCCTAATCTCAGCTCAGGCTGGCTTCCTCCGGGCGCTGAGCCACGGCTGTGTGACAAGCACCGTGCTGAGCATTGGCATGGAGCTGTCTCCCTCCCCAGGAAGAGGCCAAGCAGAGACACCAACCATCCCTGACCCCCACCACCCGCCCAGCCTGCAGCACTGTACAGCGGTGGGTTTATTCAAACACGTTTCCATCACAGAGGTGCTGCCGGAGCCGTGGGGCAGTGCTGGGGGGGTTAGCTCGCCATCTCCTTGGCCAGGGCCTTGTTGAGCTTGTCTTTGAGGTAGGCTGTCCGCTGCCGCTCCGCCTTCAGGTCCAGGAACTCATAGTGGGGCACCTGCAGCAGGACGGGGCGAAGAGGAGATGGTGTCAGAGCCCTGAGATGCACAACGGCATCCTTGAGGAGTCTCCCATTGGGACAGGGGCACAGGCAGCCCATAGGCTGGTCCCCATCACAGCAGAGGTAGGCAGTGAACTTGAGGCAGCCGTGTGGATGGGTGAGAGCACCCAATGGTCCCGTCCGGCAGTGGCATTGGCACCCAGGGGACCGAACCACAGACAATTCAGGACTGTCCCCAAATTAACCCGCGTGACCACCACTGAACAACGGGACTTCTGTGAGCAGCTGGGATGGCACAAAGCACTGGGACGGCCCCAGTGACCACCCTGCCCCTTGCAGAGGAGGATGTGAGGCAGCACCTTCACTGTCAGGAGGCTTGGGGACCTCCCGAGCACCAAACCCTGTTTAGTTTTCCATGAGGACAGAGGACGTGCAGGGCTCCGTGTCCCTGCTGCCAGCCCATCCTATCCTTCTCCCTGTGCCTGTCCCAGCCTGGTGAGCCGCGGGTGAAGTGTTTATTTGGAGGGCACGCAGCTGGGGGAGAGGCTCACGTGCCCAGCACTTGCTCTCTGGCTGAAGGGTGATGGTTCAAGCTGCACTAGAACACTGGCTCCGGCACGTCGTTCCTCAGTGGTGCCTCTGCCAGCCTGTATGAGGGAGCAGCCGTGTCTGGGGGGATCCCACCACCCACCTCTGCCTCTATATTTAGCAGGGCTGAAGCTGCTGGAAGCAGCACTTCCCTTCTTCTCCTCCTCCTGTCTCCCTGAGCCTTCCCAGCCAGCCAGAGCGGGGGATTATGCAAGAGGCTGGAGAGAAACAGTGGCGGTGAACCTCGAACCTCACTTCACATCAGCCTCAAAGTTTGGCACCGAGCTCAGGGAGCTGGAAGGAGGACACTGGGGAAAGGCTGAAGCTCAGGGTTCTCACATGGAAGAGCAGCAGGCAGGCAGTGGAGACCGCAGTGATGCTCTGGGCGACATGTGGCCCTCCAGCCTTGAAAGAGCCACGCAGCTTGGGCAGTGCAGGGCAAGGGGCAGAGGGGTGGCTCCCTGCCCACGCTGGCAGCACACTGAGCCACCCTCCCTCCTCCCCCAGAGCAGCCAGTAGCAGAGCAGTGCTTGCTGCCTGCCAGGAGAGCTATAATTACCTTCAGAAAGCTAAATAATGCATGACCCCATGGCTCCAGCGCAGGGGATCAGCACCCTAAGACCTTGTCTGCTGTCCTCCTTCATTACCAATACCCCCACACCACCATCAGGCTGCCCGGCAGGTGGCCCGGAGGGGATCACGGTGGCTAATCCCAGTGACAGCAGGCAGGAGGGCGACCTGCCGAGCCATCCGCATGGAGCTGTGGGCACCAGGGAGCGCTTGGGGTTCTGCAGGACCCAGAGCCACCAGGAAGGTGGTGATGGGAGTAGGGAAGCCAGACCCCCCTCCATGAAGGTGTCTGCTCCTCCATCTCCATGGAATCAAGAGACCCCTCTCTACCCATGGCTACTCACATCCACCACGAGGAAGCCGGCCGCCTGGATGTGGCGCCGGGCCATGACGAAGCGGCCCAGCAGGTCCTTGCTTCTGTTGCTGAAGTTGGGGAACTCCCACCGGAGGAAGGCAATCCTAGGAGATGCAAAGGGGAGCAGGAGGCTGTGAGATGAAAGGCTGGGCATGGGCACCATAAGCAGAGCTGGCAGCAGCACCCAGATCCCAAGGCAGCCGTGGCAGAAGGGCCTGCTCCAGCTTTGCTGATAGCCCTGTGCCAGCGGGACACGGACTTATCCTGCTGGAGCCATTATCCTGCCTCTGAGCTATCCAAGAAGCACCAGGACAGCAGCTCAAGTGAAATGTATCCACCATCCATGCCTGGCAGCACACTGAATGGGGTGATGCTGCCTTTTCCAGGCAGGAAGGAGGCATCTCAGGGCCCTGCAGGCAGCCAGGCTCCATAGCAGACAGACCTGGCAAAGGCTTTCTTCAGAGGGAAAACCATCAGCACAACCTGTATGCAGCCCCCTTCCCTTGCTGTGCTGCCACCAGGTTATTTGGCCAGAGGAGCCCCTCGCTCCAAAATGCTACCCTGGGGGGGGAATGGCAGAGCCTTACCCGAATTTCTGTCCAGTGCCCACCCCTTCTGTTCCCAAACAAGGGGGTACACAGCTGGGCATCACATCCTTGGCACACATCACTGGCTGTGGTGATCGGGAGGCGTGAAGCCTGCAGCTCCCTTCCACCACAATGGCAGAGCTCTCCTTCTCCCTCTTCCCCCTGCAAGCTCCTGCCCAGCTGGCAGCCACAGCTGAGCCCAGACCCACCTCCTAGCTCCTGATGGCAACGGGTTTGTGCCTTCTGGGCAGAGCAGATGGGGAGCAGCAAAGTTCTTCACGGGGAGAGGTTTATTTTCGCTGTTCACCACCATCTCAGCATCTGCACAGAGAGGAGGGAACACAAGGACTCCTGAAATCCCACCTGGATGCTGTTGACACCATCTCTCTCAAGGCTGGTGATGCAGAGCACGCAAGGTCACACTGCTCCCTTCCCTTAAAACCCATCCTTGCTGAAGCTGTGGAGCACCTCTGCACACACACACACACAGAGCCAGGGATGGGGTCTGCTTCCCGAGCGTCTCCTCAGGCAGAAGACATGTCCGTAGCCCGATTTTAGCCCAGCATCCCAAGGGGAAGGGGATGTGGGGCTCACGGACCACAGAAGTGGCTGTGGCAGCCGTTTGGCCAATCCCTGCCATGGAGGAGGCATGGATCGAATTTGACAGGGCTGCAGCAGAGCAGGGAGCTGGGGGAGCCTGGGGTGGGCTGCAAGAGCCCGGGCTGAAGCAGAGGAAGGGGGAGTAGGGCCAGAAGGCTCTCACCAGCCTCGATGCTGGTTGGCTGCAGGAGGAAGGCATTCCTCCTCCATCTGCTCCCCACAGCCGTGCCCTGGGCTGCGGTTTCTGCTTTGCCATGACTTGGGGGAACAGATGAAACAAGGCAGGGCAGCTGCAGTGAGGAGGCAGGAGGCTGAAGAATGACGGGGGTTAAACCCTGGTAGCTGTATCTGAGCCCTCAAGTTCAACTCCCTCCATTGCTGGAGTCCCGCTGCTGCCTGTAGAGGGGGCACAAGAGGCACTCACCGATCTGCCAGCCGTAGATGGTGCGTGCATCAAAGCGCCCGTTGTCCTGGCTCCCCAGCACCCCCACCAAGGCCTCCCGCAGGCTGCTCTGCAGCAGGGTCACCTTCTCCCCTGCTGGCCCTGCCACGCTCAGCATCTCCGGCGGCAGGAATGGCCCTCGGTAGTCAGGGCTTTCCAGCTTGGCAGCAGCATTGATGTGAATGAGCTTCAGCTGTAAGTTCTGGGCCTTGAGGGACTGATCACCTGGTGGGAGGAGAGAAGCAGAGCTCAGACACAGCCCAAAGCCCTGGCTCTTCATCTGGTGGCCTGCGTGACTGCGATTCCTGGTTCCAATCCCCCCATGATGGTTCCCTGCCTACTGGCATAGAGATACAGTCCACCAATGGCCAAATGCTGGGGGGGCTCGCAGGAAGATGGCAAAGCCAGA